ATTATAATGTTTGCAAAATTATATAGTTCATAGAATGACTTAGTTATGTTTAGTTGGTAGGCTTGTACCTTTAACTGTTAGTATGCTTGTAATTTGAGTCTTACTAATCAGATACAGGTGGAGCTTATTCCTTTGTTCATATATTCTGCATCTGCCTGTATTCTCTCTCTGGTGTTTTTTGTTCCTGCATTGAAACTGCACCCAGTGAAAATGGTGTTGCAGAAAGGTGGATAGGTGTTGTAAAGGTTGTGGCTAGAAAAATACTAAGATATGCTAGTTTGTTTGATGGATTGTGGGCTGAAGCCATGGCAAATGCCACCTATGTGCTCAATCATTCTTTTTGTAAAAGTGTCAATAGTATTCCTTATGTGTTGTTTTTTTTTTGAAAAACTCCTGATTTGAGTTCAATCAGAGTTTTTGGAAGTGACTCTTTTGTCTTAATTCCCAAAAAAGACATAAAAAAGATGCTATATGGAAGAAATTGAAATATCTTGGCCCTGCTTCTGAGACAAAAGGTTGACGATTTTGGTGTGGTGACAATTGGGTGATTGTTTCTAGAAATGTGAAGTTCCAAAAACACAGTGGTTGGGAAAGGATTCATTAAAATCAGGAGGTGTTTTTGCCTTTTGAAACTGCTCAAATGCACACACCACAAGCCACACAGTCAACTGCACAACAAGTTTCACAGCAGCCTGCTACACAAACAAATACACAGGTGCAATCAGTTTCACAACAGACTGCACAGCAAAATATACAACCAAGCACATCTCAAGATACACAGTTGGGAACACAAGTGCGAGTAAAGCAAGAATCTATTGCTAGTCAGTTAAAAGTCAGTAGTCCTGTGATTAAAAGAAAAGATCCTCAAAAGAGAAAAGTTGAAGCTGAATCTTCTTATAGTTCAGAAAGTACTAGCTCTAGTAGTTCTGAGACCGATGAGACTGATGGAGGAGATAGTACTAGGACCATTCCTAGGTGCAGTTCTAGGAAAACCAAGGGTATTCCTCCAAAGAGGTACCATTGTGAAGTTGTGAAAATTCAGAAGCATGACTGGTCTGAACTTCAAAGTTATATAAGTTATGTTGAAAAGAGATGAGACTGAGAGAAATCTTTGGCTAAAAGTGATGCAAAGTGAATTTGATTCTTTGAAAGGTTTGCAGGTTATGGTAAAGTCTGAAACACCAGACAATGTAAAAGTTCTAAGTTGTCATTGGGTTTACAGACGTAAACAAATAAAGGATGGTGGATTTTTGTACAAGGCCAGGTTAGTTGCCAGTGGTTTTGAACAGATATATGGAGAAAAATTTAATGAGATATTTAGCCCCACAGTGTCTGGGGAAGCATTAAAAATAATCCTTGCAATTGCCAGCAATGGGAATTTAAAAGTTAAACATTTTGATGTGAACACTGCATATCTCCATGCAGACTTGGAGGACAAAGTGTATATGTCTGCTATCCCGGGTTTTGAAACTGACCTTCCTGAAGGGTCTTGTCTTCTCAAGAAAAGTCTTTATGGTTTTGAGCAAAATGCCCGTAATTGGAACCTTCATTTGGACAAAGTGTTGACAAAGTTGGATTTTTGTTGCCAACAGATTTGATCCTTGGTTGTACTCAAAAGGAAGTGGAGACACACAAATGTTTGTTGTAATTTATGTGGATGATGTGTTATGCATCGGGTCTGAGGAACAAATTCAGGAAGTGTTTCAGAGTTTGAACTAAGTATTGAAAATCAAAAATCTTGGAGATGTCAATAAATATCTTGGTATAAATATTGCCAGAAATGAAAGTGGCTTTGAATTAAACCAAACTGACAAGATTTATGATCTTTTGAGGAGAACCAGAATGGAAAATGCAAACACTGTTAATACACCCATGGCACTTCAGTTTTTACTGATGGATGAAGTGTTAGAAAACAATTTCATTTATCATTCAGTTATTGGCTCTTTATTGTATATTTCAAATAACACAAGGCCTGATATTTCTTTTTCTGTTGATATTCTAAGTCAAAGGATTCAAAATCCTTCACATACAGACTGTACTGGAGTGAAAAGAGTTCTGAGATATTTAAAGCAAACGGATGAAAAAGTTTTTAGAGTTTGTCCAGATGATAAAGAGTCTTTAGCAATACATTGTGATAGTTCCTTTGCAAATATAAAGGAAAATAAATCTATTACTGGATTTGTAATAAAATATGCAAATACACCAGTGTGTTGGAAGAGCAGAAGACAGAAAATTGTGGCACTGAGTACTGGAGAAGCTGAATTCTCAGCATTGTCTGATACAGAATGGTTATAATCTTTGATTAGAAGTCTTAACATTGATTTAGAATTGCCAATGCAAGTTTTTGTTGATTCTCAAACCTGCATTGCTTTGAGTAAAAGTCAAAATATGAAAACAAAGTCCAGATACATTAATGTCAGAGATTCGAATGTACAACAGTTTGTTAAAGACAAAAAATTGTTCTCAATTATATTCCTTCAGCTGAAAATGTTGCTGACATTTTGACTAAACCTCTTACTTTTGAAAAACACAATAAATTTTGTGAGAAATTGAATTTATAAATGTGAACTAATATAATTTTGTGGAGGAGTGTTGAAAGTATTATGTTTGTAAAATTATATAGTTCATAGAATGACTTAGTTATGTTTAGTTGGTAGGCTTGTACCTTTAACTGTTAGTATGCTTGTAATTTGAGTCTTACCAATCAGATACAGGTGGAGCTTATTCCTTTGCTCATATATTCTGCATCTGCCTGTATTCTCTCTCTGGTGTTTTTTGTTCCTGCATTGTGTTCCTGCATTGAAACTGTATTACGCTTTTGTTCCAAAAAACAAAATAAGATGACTTTATGCTACAATATAGCTTCTCATTGACCACATTACTTTGGGGCTGTGCTGCTGCAGCAGCATTATTTTATTTTTCTTTTGATACTCTGCAACATGAAGATTATAACTTTGCTGACAGGAGCACTGCCACTTTCCTCCCTGGTGATGCTCCTCAAAGCTCATGGTAGCCAAGGTCATGCTTACAAATGAGAGGGAATAATGTCATATAGGTGAAACAATAATACGTGGATGCATTAAAACAGTGGTTCTCAACCTTCCTAATGCCACGACCCCTTAATACACTTCCTCATGTTATGGTGACCCCCAACCATAAAATTAGTTTTGTTGCTACTTCATAACTCTTATTTTTCTGCAGTTATGAATAGTAATGTAAATATCTGATATGCAGGATGTATTGTCATTCATTGACCCAAATTGGGCACAAATACCCAATACATCCAAATTTGAATACTGGTGGGATTTGGGGAGGGTATTGATTTTGTCCTGTGGGAGTTGTAGTTGTTGGGATTTATAGTTCACCTACAATCAAAGAGCATTCTGAACTCCACCAACAATGGAATTGAGTCAAACTTGGCAGACAGAACTCCCATGACCAACAGAAAATACTAGAAGGGTTTGGTGGGCATTGACCTTGAGTTTTGGAGTTGTAGTTCACCTATATCCAGAGAGCACTGTGGACTCAAACAATGATGGATCTGGACCAAACTTGGCACACATTCTCAATATGCCCAAATGTGAACACTGGTGGATTTTGGAGAAAATAGACCTTGACATTTGGGAGTTGTAGTTGCTGGGATTTATAATTCACTTACATTCTGAACCCTACCAACGATTGAATTGGGGCAAACTTCCCACACAGAACCTCCATGACCAACAGAAAATAGTGTTTTCTGATGGTCTTTGGTAACCCCTCTGACACCCCCTTGTGACCCCTCAAGGGGTCCCAGCACCCAGGCTGAGAAACACTGCATTAAAAGACATACGGTATGTAATATTCAGTGTAATAATACATTGGTCAATATACATGATGGGTGACCACTCATGGCTGAATATGATTGTAGAGTCCTAGCGGTGGAGCCATAAATAACTGTAAACTGGACCCACATAGTCTTTCACATTGAGGACATAGATTTCCAGATGGAAGGCAGTTACAACCAGAGTTTTCTTGACATGCCTTCTTCTTGGCACATTTCTCTCTTTTACCCTCTATTTGTGCCTCTACAAAACCCACAGCATCTTTGGTAACAACTGACATCTAGTAACAATGCTCAAGTGCCAGGACTTCCCAGTTCTTGGTGTTTATACTACATTTTTGGAGGTTAGCTTTCAGCCCATATTTAAATCTTTTTTGTTATTCATAGTTATTCTGTTTTTGTTCTTAAGTTGAGACTAAAGTAGCTGCTTTGAGACAGTGATGGGACATTAGACCCATGTGTCCAATTCAGCAAAGTTGATGGTGGAGAATCATAATTTGAATGTTCAGTATCTCTTAAATAAAAATGCATTGGTCAATATACAATAACTCTACATACTGCTTGCATGATCACCAAATAAAGTGCATCTAAAAGTGCTGGACTAAGGAGATTTGTGTCCAGTGGAGAGTGAGAAAAAGTCATTCATAGAATCATAGAACTGGAAGAGACCACATGGGCTATCCAGTCCAACCCCCTGCCAGATTTCACAAACCCCACCAATATGACTATTTAATCCCCCCCCCCCCGATTATTTCTTTCTCCCTTTTCTCTGAATGGTTGGCTTCCATAACAATTCCTATATGTTTTGGGGTTGAAGCTTGAAAAAGTTGCCACCCATGGGGCTGGAATATGGGATCTCACTCTAGAAAAACTATGAGGTTTGGGAGGAAGTGCCATCATGGCAGTGCCATTGTCTGTCATTACTCTTTCAGGCTTCCTGGACTCTACTAAAGCTCTGAGAGACATATTGTCAAAAAAGACATTCACATTAGATTGCAGTCCTATGCACACACCTAACTGAAAGAATTTGAACTGAAGAAAGTGAGACTTGCTTCTCAGTAAACATGCAGAGTATCAGGCTTCAAATACTATAATCTGGTGTGAACATAAAAAGTGAGCAGGAAAGAAACCCAGAGAATATAAAATAAAACATGTCTCCTATTTTAGCAGACACCTCTACCTTAGGGTGTATAATACTCGTCCATCACTCCAAATTCGAAGCAAACGGTTTGGAGTTGTAATCCAGTGGGCATCTGATTTCCTTGAATTTCGGAAGAAAGTGTCAGGAATCCAGATTTTTCCAACCATATTGCTATTCAACATAAGTACTTTCATGGTGCTATTAAATTTCAAGCGGCTATCATACCAAGTCTGGGCAAAAATGATATCTATGGTGTACTCCTAAAAGACAGAAAAAGAAGACAGAGAGTAATAACAGCATGAAAATCTGTATGGAACAGTGAACAGTGTATAGAAGAAAACAACATTGAAATCTACATCTGGAATCACAAGTTAGGTTCTAAGCAGTGTACCTTTAAGTCTGAGTGCTTGAGATACGTGCCTTTTATCCAGCCTGCACCCAACCCTGGTAACCAGTTGCAAGTAATGGGGTTACTTGCAACTTGGTACTTCAGACCCCTATGTTTGTATTTTGTAGGCAGGCATTCAAAGGACAAACCTAAAAAAAGGTAGTATGAGAAGGGAATATGAGACTGCTGAGATTGTCAGAGGCAAATCTTGAACTGACGATGTGCACAAAGCTAGGATTTGACTCTCTCTATTTGATTGTAAATTATAATGTGGTAATCTAGTTTCTTTCTGTAACAGGAGGAAAGTGAACTAAGTAGCACACAATAGGGAGGCTCCCCAATCACAGCTGCCAAGAATGTCTCCCCCTCCCGATTTTAATGAAAGCAGCTGGGTGCCAGGCTCTTGAAAATCAGCTTTGTTCAATTACAGATCTCAAGTCTACGACTTCAGGCATCTAATTCCAGAAACCATGTCTGCACTTTCTGTATGTACACTGATAAATTCCTGGGGTATGACATGGTCACATTGTTCCTCTTTCAAGAGGCTGGATTAATATTTTTAATGCTGCAGCGGCAGATCAAAGGAGGAACATCAGTCATTTAGATTTCACTAAGGAGCCATGCTGGGCTAGCCGAATTCACCTTTATATATGTATTTGCAAGTTATAATTCTTGCCATAGTTTCTTGTCCTTTTCTGTTGTACTGTGCTTCATAAGATTTTTTATTCTTTTGTTTAATTTCATGGAGCATTTCTTAGAACAATTCTTCAGTTTCAAGTGTAATACATTTACTGTGTGCTCAATATCAAGTATGACTGCCTTTATTCAGGGACCTCATATTGGGGACATGATATGCCCAGTACTGGATAGAATATAAGAGAAGTGGGGAGGCTTTGGTCCACCTGGATGTCTTGGACTACAAATCCCATTATCCCTTGACATTGGTGATACTGTTTGAGGCTTGTAGCTAAAGTACAAAACAACTGAAAAATTTACTTGCTATACAGCAGGGATCCACAAACTTTTTGAACAGAGGGCCAGGTCACAGTCCGGATTATAATTTGAAAAAACATGAATGAATTCCTATGCATACTGCACACATCTTATTTGTAGTGCAAAAAACACTTTAAAACAATACACCAATTAAAATGAACAACAATTTTAACAAATATAAACTTATTAGTATTTCAATGGGAAGTGTGAGCCTGCTTTTGGCTGATGAGATAGAATTGTTGTTGTTGTTATTGTTTGCTTTCAAGTCGTTTAAGACTTAAGTTGACCCTGAGCGAGGGCCAGGTAAATGAGCTTGGAGGGCCGTATCCGCACCCCGGACCTTAGTTTGAGGACCCCTGCTATACAGTGAGCTGACTACCACCAATTCAAATCAATGTTAATTGAAACCAGCATTGTCTGGTAGGAGTCGGCAACAATTCCATTTAGGCTGCTATTTTAAGAGAGCTAATCCACACTTTCTAGTCCAGGGGTCCTTGCACTTTTAAAGCAGAGGGCCGGTTCACTGTTCCTCAGACTGTTGGGAGGGCAAACTATATTTTGAGAAATACATGGACAAATTCCTATGCACACTGTACTGCAAAAAAATGAAAGAACAATACAGTATTTAAAATGATGTACAATTTTAACCAATATAAACTTACCAGTATTTCAATGGGAATGGTGGGCCTGTTTTTGGCTGATCAGATAGTCAAGTTAATTGAGATTGTTGTTGTTTTGTGACTTGAAGTTGTTTCAGGCATAGGTGACACTAAGTCTAAAGTTTAGACCAGAGGCCGAGTAAATGACCTTGGAGGGCCACATCCGGCCCGCGGGCCTTAGTTTGAGAACCCTTTTTCCAGAATAACATGTGAATCAGAATGCAGAAATCCTTTAGGCTGTCCACTTCTTCAATGTGTTTTGCTCAAAAATGTCTTATCAAAATGTATTTTAGATGTAGTGTATGTAATTATGTGCATTCTAGAGGAAAATACTTTTGCTTTAATTGTGATTTTTTACACTTTTTAATAGCAAATGTCAGAATGGAACATGAAATAGACTTATACATGAATATATGATAAACTGACAGTCAGACCATTCTTCTTGTCTAGTCTGTTTGCTTCAGGATTCTTGACAGGAGGATTGAACCTGGGGCCTTGTGCCAGCAAAGTTTCTGCTCCACCACTCAGTTATGGTCCCTACTCATCCTCAGTGTATCCTTATGTAATCAAAGGGGTAATCCTGGCTGCTGTGCAAATACACTAAGTAAAATAGCAAGATAAAAATATAGAAATTACACTATAGTATCATAGCATCATACTAGTATCGTATTATAGTATCATAGAGTTGGACAAGGCCACAATGGCTATCTGGTCCAGCCCCCTGTCATGCAGGAACAAGCAACTAAATCACTCCTGAAAAATACTTGTTCAACCTCTGCTTAAAGAGCTAAAGCAAAGAAGAATCCACCCCCACCTCCCCCCCCCCCAAGCAGTCTATTGCACTATTGAACAGCTCTTTCAGTCAAGATGTTCTTTCTAAAGTTTAAGTGGAATTTCTTTTCTTGTAATTTGAATCCATTGGTTTGTGTTCTAGTCTCTGGAGCAGCAGAAAATAAGCTCTCTCCCGGTTACTGAAGAATCAGGATTAAAGATATTCAATACAAACTGGTGTTATGATACATTCATGGCATTTCCTGCTGGTGTGAAATGTAACAAACACAGCAGCCTCACTATCACTACAAAAGGCTGAATGGCAATACACCTGGTGAGGAACCTTTAGGCTGCCAAATGCCCATCATGTTTACAATTGGGCAAGGTAGCAGAGGCTGATACTATAAAAGTTCAAAAATATCTAGATAGCCAGATCTTTTCCAGGCATGATTTATGGCACAACAAAAGGTTTGACCCTGGTCTAAGTTGTCTTACATCAGGAAAATACCAGACTAGACAGCTGTATTACTAAAATGAGAAACATATCACTGTGTTTGAGAGACTGGTACATTGCAATGGTTCCCAAGTCTACTCTGAATCCTTTTAAATATATGAATTCCAAGTGTCATAATATTTTTCTGCTAAAGAATTAAGGGCTATCATATATATGAAAATAAGGGTCAGACGATTTGGGAATACCAGTGGGCAGAATCCTTCCACACTACACAGTGATAGCACTATGATTCCATTTTAACTACATGTCAACATCCTATTGACTCCTCAGGATTCTGGTCTAGTAAAGATCTAAAGTACTTTGATAATACTAAATATAGTATGATCTCCATATCTGTGGTGGGGAATCCTCAGAACTGCAGTATAAAAATGGCATGATTCCTACTCCTGCTATATGGAAGCCACAATCAAATATTAATCAGTTTGAGCATTAAGATCTGCTGAGGAAGTCCTGCTCTCAGGTCCACCACCTTCACAGATACGATTGGTGAGGACGAGAGACAGGGCCTTTTTGGCGGTGGCCCCTTGGTTGTGGAACTCCCTCCCCAGTGAGATCAGATTGGTCTCCTTCCTCCTGGTATTTAGGAAACAAATCAAAACTTGGCTGTATAAGCAGGTGTTTGGTGAGTGACAGAAATGCAGTTTAACATTTCATCATGATATAGATATAAATGAAGCAGCCTAATTATTATTGTCTTACGGTTTGTTTGTTTTTTGTCATGTCAGAAGCAACTTGAGAAACTGCAGGTCACTTCTGGCATGAGAGAATTGGCCGTCTACAAGGATGTTGCCCAGGGGACGCCCGGATGTTTTGATATTTTTAGCATACTTGTGGGAGGCTTCTCTCGTGTCCCCACATGAGGAGCTGGAGCTGATAGAAGGAGCTCATCCGCGCTCTCCCCGGATTCGAACCTGCGACCTGTCGGTCTTCAGTCCTGCCAGCACAGGGGTTTAACCCACTGCGCCATCAGGGGCTCCTGTTTTATGGTGGTTTAATATGTCTAATATATCCAATGGTTGTATTTCATATTTATGTTTATTGATTTAGTTAATTTATGTTATGTGCTACTTTTTCTTACGTATAATGTGGCAGTATATTTTGCCAAAATGTGAGCCATTCTGAGTCCCCCCCAGGACTAAGTTAAAGTGGGACAGAAATGGAGTAAGTAAATAAATAAATATCCCTTTAATTTTGCACTGCTGCAATTTTGAAAGGCTATTCTCTATTTTTTTTAAAAAAAGAATTAAGTGTTGTTGTTGTTTATTCATTCAGTGGCTTCCTACTCTTTGTGACCTCATCAACCAGCCCACGCCAGAGCTCCCTGTCGGCCATCTCCATCCCCAGCTCCTTTGAAGTCAAGAACAAATTATATATTAAGAAAAGTATTAAATGTGTATATATAGATAAAATTATATTCAAAAATCCCACAAAAATCCTACATTGAAGAGGTGGGGCTAAGTACAAAATGAACCTTAAAATAAAAAAAATCAAATCAGAATTTTATATTGGAAAATGGGAGAAATCAAAATAAACAGATTTGTCCATTCCCATGACAAATGCAACAACAGGAATTCCAGGATGAGTAGACTAAATCCTATTTCAGCTGGGTTATTATAGCTGAAGTTAGCCATTGGTTTTTGCAATTCCTCAATGACGTGATGTACTACGCTACTAAAAAATAATCTCAGAATACACTAAATATACATTTTAAAGTTTAAAAACTAATTTAAATGTGAAATTTCCATATTTTAACACATAAATCAAAAGCAGATTATTACACCATACATATTTGTAACAATCTTCTGAGTGAACACATCTGTCAGAATAACAGATATGGACTATGTCAATTTGTCTATCCCTTTCTTTTCTGATTTAAAAATGCAGGATTTGTACTTGTAAAAGGCATCATTACAACAGTGTAGTTGTATCACAGAA